GCATTCTAGTGAGAGTTACTTGATATCACTTTGGGATACTTGTGATTATATTAAAATTTTTAAGGGAGCCATCTTTAAATGTGACAGCTAAAAAACTGATCAGAAGACCACTGTTGAAAGCGTTGGCAATGCAAAATACGGACACTCCCCATCTCAACGCAAGACGGGGAATCTCTAGCATGGTATATTTTTCAGTGAGACAGAAAGGAGGGGAAAGAAGGGAGGAGGAAGGGAGGTAAAGAGAAAAACATTTTAAGAATTCCACACAGCCATGAGGCTGGCAAGGCTGAATTCACTGAGCAGCTGAATAGCTTCAACCCAATAACAGCCTTCAACCCTCTTCAAGCAAGAGTTAAAGTCACACCTGAGTCTGAACTCCACAGGTCAGCAGGCTGAACATGGGGCCAAGACTCTTCAGCCTGCAGACAGTGTCTCTCCAGTCTTTGCCCTTACGGTGGTCGACTAAGCGGACGACACCTGTTCCTGTTCAGGAAGGCTGCCTGCTTGCTTTCTAAAGTAACTTAAACACTGGTCATATCTGAATCGGCTTCACAGCACATCTAACCTGGCACTTATTCAAACAACTGGACCCTGGAGCCCAGTCAGAGGATAGATAAAACTCATCATCACACATACAAGTAATTTTTAGATAATAAGCATATGCGTGTGTGTACGCTGGCAAGACTAACTTCAGTGCCTCAGATGCATGAGGCGGCAGCATCCTGGGAGCGATGGAGCTGCCACTGCCGGTCTGCACTGAGGAGTCCCGCTCTCACCTGAAATACCCGGCTGCCCTCTGTGACCCACTACCCATCCAATGCCAACCCAAGTGCTTAACCTAAGCAGTGTTCTCTTTCTAGTCTAATTTTTCAGACTAAAACAATGGAAACAGTAACTGAAATTGTCTTGACACATGCTCAGTCAGAACCCATCGGTCTGAAGCAAGCAGGAGCCTGTGAGGAAGATCTCAGACCAGTAATACTAAACTATAGGACATTCAGAGAAACCTAAAGGTCGTGTTAATAATGCCTGTTTTTACGGCAGAGCTGCAAAAACTCACTCAGTCACGCGGCATGAATCCAGGGATGTGAATCCCGGGATCTGGGTCTGCAGTCACGGCCTCAGGGATTTCAATACCGTGTTTCCCTCAGGCATTGCTGCAGCCCTTGTCACAGGTTGAGCGGTCCCCAAGAAGCATGCGGAGAGTCAGTCAGGACAGCCACGTCACCAAGAGGACCCAGCACCTTTCCTCTGTTCCAAAGGCCCAGACTGGGGGTAGTTTCAAAGAATTTATAAGATTCTTGATTTTTCAAAAGCTCAAATTAGTGAATATTTTCTATGGAACTCTGTAAAGTAGAAATTATTTAATAAAAATAGTTCCCAT